CTATGGTTCTCTAGCAAAAGTTAATTCTGTAAATTCAATAAAACAAAGCATTTTTGAAAACTATGATAAACATCCAGGAGACTGTTTTAAATAGTATTAAGAACAATTCTGCTTAAGCATAAGAAAAAACTCTTAGGAAGACTCATTTCCACTCACCTATATTTTCACTCACTATATAACTTCCTGAATACATCATAGATATATTCTGTATATTCTAAAATTTTACATTTGTCTCTGGTAAAAATAATTCTCTCCACAAAAAAATTGTAACTCTCCTGCCCAACCAACCTATGAAAAGCTAACCGTCATTTTAAAAAGTCACTAAAGAAATAGCTCATATAGTGCTTGACTACAGCCAGTTTTTCTGTGTCAGCAGAAGTCTGTCTTAATTCATACAAATATTTCCTTTTTATGGTAAATATATTTATATTTGGTGAATATGTTTACTTCCAGAAAGTCAAAAACATCAGTGCAAGCTTAGCATAATTCCCCAGTATCCAATTCAGTGACACTCAGGAGGACTGAGAAGCAGTCTGTCAGCCCAAGATTTTTTCAGTTTTTTCCACTCATGAGCCACCAGAAACTGCAACTTTAAATTATATTGACACAACAGTAAAACCAGAATTTTACACTCACTAAGTCATTAGGCTTCTGCTGTTCCTTTAAAGCTACCCCCACTACTATGGAAGCCCAGGAGCCTGGCAGGGGTATAGCAACCAGTCACCTTGGAAATCAGGACCTTAGGCTCCTGGGTCACCTCGCTACTTGTGGCAAAGAAATATGTTTAGAAGGTTCTCCCCCAGAGTCCTTTGCTTTGTTATGTAGATGAGTCCAAGTTATGTCATCCCTTAAATCCTCCCCAGTTCCAGAATGTTGTTTCCTGTTCTCCCATTGGCTTCCCTGTTTCCGTTTTTCTACCCCCACGTCCCTGTTGGTTGTTGCCACTTTCCCTGCCTTAGAACCACCCCCGAGCCCTTACACTATTAGCCTTTAGTCCCATGCTCTGCCCCTTCACACCCCATATTTAAACCCCCTCCCACCTTTGTGGACACACACATTTAGAGAGCTAGGGAATTACAGCTTGGACATTCTTTTCAGGCCTGGATTTCTCCTGACTCTCAGGTCCATTCCCAGGCTGGTAAGCTGACTACAGCTTCAGGTAGGGAGGAAGTCTCCCAAGGTGATAATATGGTGAAAAACAGAGTGGAATTCATAATAAAGATTAACACCTGGTGTCTTTCCCGTGGGATACATCCTGAGGTACTGTCCCACGGATGTTCTTCCCAATTGTCCAATGAGCTACTGTCCTGCCCTAGCTCCACGTAACATACTTTAAATACGGGCTGTCTGTACAATAAAGTTGGCCTTTTTGCCCTAAAGAGGTCCATGTGTGTTGCTGTCCTTTCTCTCTCTTTTTAGTGCAGTGACCACACACCTTTATCCAGTGTCTTTGTCCCTGGACCCTTCAACAATAAAGACCCTCATTGGAATACCACACAAAGGCCCTTCCCATTATTTCTCCTGACGGCTCAATATCTCCATCTCAAACATGTGTGAGTGCCTGCCTGCTGTCTGTCTGCTCACCTGATTACCCCTAAGTCAGAGACGACTTTGGGAACAGTGATGGCTGCAGTTTGCCAGGGCCCGCATCACTGCACCCTACTACTTCTCATTACCCACTGTCTCGTTCAAACCCTTTTCTTCAATAGTCCTTATCACCTCATGTGGTCAGCCTGCTGTCAAAGGCTATATCCCAAATGGGAACTGGCAGTCGCCTTCCCAAGGCACAGAGTACCAGCACCACGGCCACAGAGTATCTCAAGTTGCCTCCTGTGTACACATACCGTGCTCAGAGCTCTTCTCAGAAAGAACTTGGCCCTTGCAACCCTAAGGGGAATTGACAGGTAGATAAACATCCAAGTTCTTTTAGTAATATAAATGAAGACTAGGGAGTTGCAAAAGTTAAAATTTGAGTCATAGGTCCTACAGTGATTCACTGCGTTAAAGTATTTGACATCAAATACTTCAAGTAATCATGGTGAGTAACATTCTACACAAGCTCCCAAAGACATATTTTTCAAAGGCTGTTACTACTACACTAGAGCTAGAGATTACCTTTCCACTCCTTCTTCTTGACCTCTGTACCATGCTCATGCACTCTGTATTCTGGTGAGAGCTAGAAATTATACCAGCTCCAGTTATATTCAGATTTTCTTTCCACCAGAGAAACCACATACTCAGCAGCACAAAGTACCATATTTTACTGCTTGCAGCTGCAGTAATACTGGACAGACATTTCAATTATTTGACTACTCCAGAGCAATACCTGAAGATTATTATAACAATAATGTGAATTTTGTTTTTAATTTATATGCAACTGATACACTGGAAGCTAATTTTCAGGGAAAACAAATAGAATAATTCTATATTTAATAATATTTACTTCTCACTTTAAATAAATAATCATTTTTAGGTGGATTCCTAATAAAAATTTATTATATTTCATTATTTTTACTCAAGGATTCCATTAAAATAACATGGAAATGGTCTAAGCCATTGCAATGTCTAAGCCTAAGCATATTAATGAGCAGGATAGGGGAAGTTTGAGGAAGAATGTTTAGCACAGGTGAGAAATTCCATTGGTTGTAGGGACTTGAATAAGAGGAACCAGCCCCTTTCTTTCTTCAACAGAAAATAATTAAGACTGTTTAAAACAAAGAACAGGTAACAAAGTGAGGGAAGGGAAAATTAACTAAGAATAGATACAGAAGAATTTTTAGCAGGAAAAAAAGGAAGGAAAGCAAGCAAGTACCCAGAACAGTAATGAAAATCTCACACAGTAACTGTGAGAGAATTGCAAAGATTAAATAGAGGTGAAATAGAAAAATAGGCTTTAATCCATCCAGTTCATTGTGAATTGGGAGACTTTTTTTTTTCCCTTGCCCTTTCAACCTCTTTTATTTTCTTCAACTTTTAACATCTCCTTCACTGTTCTTTAGTCTAAAAAACCAAGTTTTCCTGTTTTTCCACGTAAGTAATTATTGCTGCTCTCCTCTGCAGTATTTCAAAGTAGTCTTTTTTTTTTTTTTTTTTTTTTTCGAAAATTGAGTTTGCCAAAACCCCTGGGAACACGGCTTCTTTTGCTTTCTCCTAGAAATGACTCACACCTCTGACCTACTGAGTCTTGAAGAAAATGTCAAGGTGTGCCTCACTCTGGTACACAAACAGTGGATCCATTTTGCCGAGCATTACATGGACAAATATGTTATTCATTTCCTTGTTGGTAAGCCCTGCCTCACCTTGGGGGAGAGATGGCAGGAAAGCACAGCCAAAGGACATTCAAAGGGGATAGGGTGGTTGAAACCTTTCTCCTGTTTTCTTTAGACTCTCTCACAAATTTTCTCTGAAAGTTTCATTAAAAACAGAATCTAGTTTTGTAATCAATTAAGTGCTTTCATCACATTATATGCTAGGTATAAATATTTCATAGAACAACAGTTTTTGACTATTTATTTGCACCCTATTGTTCTTGATGATTTAGACACATGCGGACTAAAACATAATCCTGTAAACTTAATCTGTTTTCTGCTGTACTGAAGATTAACTATATTACATTTTAATTACAGCAAGAAAATAGACATAAAATGAAAAGTCTGTAAAAAAAACATAGGCTTAAATTATTCTTTTATTCTTATTACTGCTTTAAAATATGTATCATCAGGAGGCTGAATCCTACTCTAGGTACCACCTTCAGCACCTCTAACCAGCCAGACCAGATTCTTTATGGATCATTTTTCTTACCTGTGCAGTGGAACTGTATTCCCCAGCCACCCTCAAAGAGCACCTGAGATACAGAGATAAAGTATGTACTTGCTACAATGACAATAAAGTAAAATACCTACCACAGCCCTAATTGAAAAACGAGAAAGTAAAGGCATGCCATTGTGAAGCCTATGTTTCCTGTGTTTCTTTGTGAAACTCTTCCAGCTGTTTCTAAGCATGCACCTGTAGCCTTTACACATAACATAGGCTGACATGAAAAAGCGTACACTCAAATCAATACTGCTGTGTTTATACAAGTCCAGAGATAGTTTTAAATCACAACTACCGAAAAAGGTGGCTTTTTTTATTCTTTCCAAAATCTTCCTAAATTGTAAGGAAAAAAAACCTCACACACGTTTTAATAAGTTCTCCAAAGTCTGTGATGGATACATTAAGAAAACCAATAACATTTTGAGTAATTTAATTAATATTTTGAGCTACTATCACTGTACAATTATTGGGAAATATTACCCCTCGAAAATGGACTCAATCAGGATAACAGTAGCCTATGCCTTCCATGCAAGTGTAATAGAGGATATACAGGTGATTCTACACATCTATTTTTATGTTCCTCTATTTTATATTCCTTTTTATGTGTGTGTGTGAGAAAATTTGTGTTTTATCAATGGTTTATTACATTAATAGTTATAACGAGCAGAAAGATATGGCATTAGCTATGAAAAGTTTGAGTTTACTGTCAGTCAGATAGTTAGGACTCTGTATAATTCCTTGAATAGAGCAATAGCACAGGATTTTTGATCAAGCTCTTTGCAGGATTTTTCAAGTTGTAACTTGCATGAAAAGATCCTCCATTACAGAGTTTCACTAAGGCTACCTGATTACTCTGGGTGACATATAAGGGCTATAAAGCATCTTCCTGTGCATGCCAGCTACAAATAGTTATCAGAGCAAGTGATGAGCTGAGTGATTTCAGCACAAGAAAGAAATAAAGGTACTAGACCAGATCCAGTGTGAAAAGTAAATCATTAACAGAGGCATTTTTGGTAGGTGTTTCATTCTGTGACTAACTGAATTCTGATTCTTAAAATCAACATAGAGGGTGTCGTGCTAATGACTCTGTTTACTTACATTATAATCACACTTATTCAATACATGGTTAATGACTAAGCCCACAGTAAATCTATAAAGCCCAAGGACAAAAGGTACCAAGAGGTGTTCTGCTTCATTGTTACTTTGGTTGGTATCAGTTTGACTGGATGGCTTCTCACAAATCTCCAAAATAGAGCAAGGTTTAACTATAAAAATTGTATTTACTTTTCTTTTAGTCTAGGAAAGCTACTATTCCATCTCAACACAACTTGAAGACTCATATCAAAATGTATTGTGGAGATTATGTGAGTATAATTATTTGTTCTCTGAAATCTTCCAAAACTTTTCATTCTCTTGAGTTCTCATCACATGTGTTGAGATCCATTTTGCTCCACTGGTAGAAATTAATCTTAGATGAAGATAATTTATTTGTGATTTGCGTCTAATCCTGGTGTTAATTATTATATATATATCACAATCCTGGTGTTACTTATTACATATATCAATATACATATGCGTATATATATTTCAATGTCTGAAAATAAGACTGGAATATAAAGAATTGCCAGTTCCTGTCTCATAATTTTAGATCTTTCAAGAAAAAAAACTCAAACTTCCTTGTGAGATCCTTTAGGTGGGTTTTCTATAGTTGCACTTTGCTGCTAAACAAGAAACTAAATTACGTACTATCACCTAACCGTATTAAAGAAAAAAAATGTGCATTTTTCAGAAGATACCTGTTTTCTGGCACTATTTTTGGCACTATAATTTGACAAGACCATCTGTAGCTGCAAAAAGTAACTGAATAGCTTTATCATTTATAAATGTTTGGTTTTGTTCATAGTGTGAAAAATATTTTAAAGAAAAAAAATGCTACCTCTACAAGAGCCACAACCCACAAAAAATTATTCATTATTGTTCCCCATCAAAAAGCTATACAATAGATTAAATGGCTTCACTAGTGCTCTTTGAGAAAAAACGTTTAAAGTGAAATTTTAGATCTCTATTCTGGAAACTATTGGAGTTACTATTTCATGACCAAAAAATATGAAATTTCTCTCTGTACCTGGCATACTGATCATTATGTTCTCTAAGGATTTCTTTCAATTATTATTGGTATGAATGATGATTTGTTCCTTTCAAAGGCTTTTTACAAGGCACATTCCCAACAAACTTACAAACCAATATGGAATTTTCTAAAGGATAAATATTTTTCTCTTTCTTATTTTAATAGGAAGTATAATTGGCTAATTGTTCCAATCTTGCCAGTAAAGTATTTCTTCTGATAAAATTATATTGCATATATTTGCTTTTCTAAAGTGATTGCTATTAGTATAGGATTAGTATATTTGGTTTTCTGCAATTTGAGATCTTGCATCCTCTACTAGACAGTTAAGAACTTAAAAGAGATATTCTTCTTAGTTTCTTTTTTTCTCTTTTAGTTACAGTCATTCTGTAATGTATTCCTGATAATTTAGGGGAGACAGAAAGAATAACTTAAGAAAGCAGTAAATCTGTTTCATTTGGAGAAGTCAAGAAATACAGTTTCTTTTCTTCTATTGATTTATTGCAGCCAATTATATTTAAATAATTGACACTGCATCTGCATATAGTATGTTGTCTGATATTAATGGTAGTACCTTAAAAAATAAATTACAGAAGAAATTCTTTAAAGTCATTACAATTGGCAATTATGATATTTGCAATAATAATGTAGTATTTTGAGAGAATTATAAAGAAAATCTAATAGATAAGACAATTTTTAACTGCAGAAGATGTTTAGAACTGTATGTAGGCTTAATATAATACATAACTATTGCATATTAGTCAGCCTGATGAACTACTTGAGCAAAGAGAACACAAGTTTCTAATTCTGATACACTGAATTACATCAAAATAACCCAAAATAAATGGTTTAAAAACGATCTCTTTATTCCCTCTTCTTCTAAATATAAAAAGGCATACTGATAAACCCTTTAGTTTTTCATCATCACAGAAACAAGCACGCATAGAAGCAACCTTAGACAATGGGAAGCACATTAGTCCCAGGAAAGACAGGAAAACTTGATTACAGTCTTTCTCAAGTATTGGGATGGATTCACAGGTTAGGTAAATTTTAAATATTTATTCCAATTTCCATGTGTTAAGGAATAGAAGGGGTGAGAATATAGGTATTTTTATGAACTAGATCACTGGATCCTAGGAACAGAATTACCTGCCGAGGCATCCAGACAGAATAGGGACATGTAAGGCGGAGCAGCATGTAAACATTCTCCCCTGGATGCTGCTGGTATTTCTACATAAAGTTAGTCATGGAGCAGTGGCAGTTTTCTCTGAAGAGACTCAGCAACAAAATAGCAGAAAAATCATTCTAGCAAATCTCAGTCAAGAAAACAGGGTTTGTACAGGACAGAATGGTGACACTGGCACATTAATTTCTTCTCTACTCTTCTTAAACACAATTCTAGATTGAGAAAAAATCTTAGCAGTACTTTTTGGACTTAAGAAATATTTTTCAAGGAATCCCAGAACATTGAATATACCATTAATTCAGAAGCATAAGAAAAATGAAAAATGAAAAAAAAAATCAGTATTACTTTCAAAATGTGCTTGTTCTTTAAGATGATCTTCTTTATATTCTATGCTACCCATATTAGTAATTACATACATTATCTGCGAACAATCAGATAGGATGGAGTCCCTCAAAATCGAGATGTACAAACTGTTAACAGCAGCGGCCCTGCCAGATTCAGCAATGCAAGGCATATCAGACATTACATACGAAAATGGTTCCCTAACAAGAACCACACATAAAGCACAGGTAAAACTACCAGAAATTAGGCAAAATTACATCTATGACCTCTCTGAAATACATACACAGGGAGAGACTGAAGGCTTTGGAGAAAGAATTTTCTATATTTAGAAGTATCTCTTCCACTACCATATCATATATTATTGAAATTAAATGTAACACATACAGTAAACTCACAGCAAACCATAATACTCATGAAATTTTTATTTAATAAAGTTGCACACAAAGGATATCTTTGCAAAAGTATAGCTAGCTCATAGCATGTGGTTAGCTAATAAAGAAAGCATTTTATTTTAGTAGATATTCCCTATGGGAAATATTCAGACTAAGGAGTTTGACTTCAATTGTTTGTTATCAGCAGAATTACTTACTGAACAAATACTATTAGAAGGTTGTTCATACTTCAGAATGCTTTTTCCATCACAAGACTGAATTGCCTGAAGTTTACACATCATAATTTGATAAAAGCAGCCTCACCTTTTACTGATACCTTTGTTGAACTGCTTGTGACTTCGGTCAGAAAAAGCTGTTACTTTCTTGCTCTTGCACAGAAGGAAGGTAAATTCCAAGTATCACTTTCCAGAACCATTATAAATATTTCAATCCCTTTCCAATTTTTTTCATTGTTTTAATTCATTCCACCAACACCACATAAACCTCTTCTGTCTGCTAACTTATTTTGGAATCAGTTCCTTACAGAAGAGTTAGAAGAACATGTGGAAACACAGAAAAATATATATAAGTGCTCACCTGGGCCACCTCTGTGGAGACAGATCTGTGATTTTGAACATGAGGGTATCTTGAGAGCAGAAAGAACAAATAGCTTAATGTCAAAAATCACTGAATCACCTCTGGAGATTTACTGGCCTTATCTTTAAGTGCTTTGACTTTGTGAGAGAAAAAGCAAAATATTTTTTATTTTTTCCTTCTGAAAAACAGATATCCCCTTCACTAGGATGCTGCAGAGAAAAGACAGTATGAAAACCATTTTTCCATATTCACATAGAGCAGTTTGTCTAAACCAACGCACAAAAAGGCCAAATTGCTCTTAGAAATTACTTTCCTCTGATGCTTTTTGAAGGCATTTTCTTTGTAATGCAGAAAAGTCTGCCATGCTGAATCCTAAGCTCTCAATGAGAGCTCCACTAAAGTGATGAATATGTCATGAGGGATGCTAGAATCCAGATACCAAAATTAAATTGTGCGATTCTTCATATACTTTCAGTGACTAAACCAGACATCTCCCCCATTTTCTTCAGAAAATTTGGCTCTATTTGTGCGTATTTGTCAATCCACCTATTCCTAGCAGTAACTTTGAACTTTATTGTGAATTTCAATCATATTAGTCAAGGAATGCAATCTCTATTGAAGTTTCGTGAAAACACGAAACTGTTCAGTGGGGGTGAGGGAACCAAATTCTACTGCCAGTCAAAAAAATACAGCAGTTGAAACTCAACAGTCATTTATTCCATTAGCCTAGCATTAAACAAATTATACATCCAAACTTTGGACTCAGTCATGGACAAACCGTATTTTACTCAGCCAGTGGTTGTCTCAGAAAGGACCCCATGGCTTGTGAATGTAGACGAAACAAGGAGAGGAAATTAACTGTAAATAAGTAGAAAAACAGACAAAAGAATCAGGGGTGGGGGAGGGAACCACTTGTTTTTATCTGCAGTGTTCACAGAACAAGTTGATACCCAGAGCAAGTTTCTTTATCACTCAATCCCACATTACTAAGACTAATGGTTGCTTGATAATGTTTACTTATTTTCAATTTTTATTGGGGAAATTCCTGTTAATTTCTTTATTTGAAAATAATTATAGTATTATTAGATTGACTAGAGAGTTGGTAGGCAATTCACCCCAGCCTTTGCTCATTAAGGGAAGGAACCAAAGCTCCCTGAAATCAATAAAAATACTTCCATTGATGTTATATATGAAATTAGGATAAGGTTCTCATAGTAAGAATGTTAAGCAGTCCAAAAATGTCCCTCCTTTTCTCAACTTACAGAAGGATTTCTTTTATTTTGTCATAATTTGTTTTACTTGTGTGGGTTGGAAAGCATTGTATTTAGAGAAATGATATTCAGTGTGCATAAACTCTTCTTCTGACATCACCAAGACAACCACAATGCAATTTTCACTTCTGTAGATTTAACTTTGCCACAAAGAGCAATTTCTGTTCATCCCTGTAGTGAACCATCTTAAGACGTGCAGAAGATCATGAGATCATACTGGTAATTTTCCTACGCATTCCAGAGTTTAGGGAAGCAAAAGATGTTGAAAAGTAAAACAGAAATGGCCATAGACTCAAAACTGGTCATTCTGATGTCAGAGTCTAGTACTCTCTCACTAGGTTCTTTCAGAGATTTCATTCATAGAAGCTGTAAAGTATAATATCAAGTTAAATAATTTTACACAGACTTTTCTAAAGGACTAATACAAAATGTACTGAAAACAACATAGATGTAATATGGATGAGATCTGCACTACTGCCTTTCATTACATGCTCTCTGCTGCAGGGCTGGGCATCATAGGGAAGGAATTTAGGGGTTTAAGTCAGCTCAAGCCATTTGCTTTTTTCCAATTACTTTGCTACCTTTTTAGTATTTATAATCTATGTAGGGCTTAGACAGGTATTCACGCCCCTCAAGCTGATCAGGCCAAGTCAGGAGGACATTCACACTGGTGTATGTCAGGTGTAAACATTTATACCATAAGTTCATCCTCTCAAATGTTGATAGCTACACTCAGTCTACTTTGAGCTGAGCTAAAATAAGCTTTCTTTGCAACAGCTCTAGTCAGCAACATTCTGCATTTTTCCCTGAACTCCATGGGCACACTGTACCTGCTCAGCTCCACCGAGTATTCTGTTACAGGGGTCAGTCACAGCTGACTAAGTGGAAAAGACTGAAGTGAGATAGCAGTGCATGTAACTACACTCAGGTGTTTAATCAATCTTAAAAAATGCCCCGCTTCAAAACAGGGCAGTAGAAATTCTTTAGCCAAAAATAACAGAAAGAAACAATCTATTCATATATAGTTGCCTGTCCCCTGATCAAAATTCAGCCTGTTGTAATTTCATTCAGTTACCAAATGCCTCTACTGCTCTGCTCCCTCAGTTTGTGTAGTGATGAACATTGTTGCTAGCTAGACATTTCCTAGGCATGCTTAGGCAGGGCAAGCCTATGTAATTTTGGAGGAAACATGATTTTACACCTTGGGCCCTAGGTTCTTGAAGCAGAACCCTAGCTTTCCTACTATAACGTTGTTTTGATGTATTTCCTCAATTTCTTGAGGTATTTTGAGCAAAAAATATTGTAAGCACAGATGCTTCTAAAGTATGACAAGATTGTAACAAATCTTTGCAAAACAAAATGCCTGCCCCAACGTTCAAGTTTATATCTCAGTACAGGAGATTATTGTAAGTCTTGCTCAACAACTTAAAACTATACCACCTTTCCTTCTCCCCAGAACACTACACCAAAGAGCATTAGAGTGGTCATTTGCTCATAAAAATAAACCTCTTGAATTTTTGCATTACTTTACAAGCAAGGTTTTCCTTCTCACCTGCTGTGTAGCAACTTGTTGCCACAGGACAGGAAGTGCTGCTGTCCCAAATTCAGGTTCACTACCTGGTGTGCAAACACCAATTCACACGTATGAAGTATTTATATTTTTTAATTCTAGCTTGCACAAGGTAATGAGCTATATGGTAACCCACAAAGGACCAGCTGCCTAATCATCAGAACTTTACGGAGTTAATACATTTCAAGAAAGAAAGATATTGCATACACTGGTTATAAATGGCATAACTTTTTTGTTAATTAGTAGTCAACCCCTACTTGCTAGCTGTCCCTTTTGCCTCTCATGGTTCTTAGTCCATGAATACTGTTCTTACCTCCATTTGAGTCTGGGGTCTGTGCTGGGTAGGCAGTCAATGAGTTGGTTGTCATGAACTCCCACTGCCAGAATTACCTTTCCTCCAGTTACTGCTCAGTTCTGCTGACTTCACTCCTGGCGTCTCTTGTCCTGATGCGCCATTCATTCTAGGATTATCTGCCCTTTTCCTTAAAATAAAAGATTACTCAAGCATGCAAGATTAACAATGACATTGCCTAATCATAACTGTCCAGCTCTAGCTATTAACAACTAAAAAAAAAATAAATTTACTAGTTTGGTTTAAGTCTTGAGGTGCTCAGATCTTGAGGGGCTTCATATCAGTGCCCCCTGCCATCACAGCACTAAGGACCCATCATCTGATAGCTCTGCGGATAGTCTGCACAGCACTTACTTCAGAGGGATACAAATAACACTGTTCATCCTAGAATCAATTCCAGGTACCACTGAACTGTCTACAGTAAATTTCCTTGGGGTTTGCCTTCCATGGCAAATATTGCATAGCATTATCACAAAAAAAAACCAAACCAACAACTCACAGCAAGTAGTAGGCAATTGCTATGTAACCACATTGAATTCAGACATCAAATTATCACCGTCCAGCTCTAAAGATTTGGCCCAGACCTGCCAGAGCCCATATTTCAAAAATTCAATGAAAACAAGTGAAAATAAGTTTAATAAGTAATAAGCACCTTAACATTTTGAAATTAAGTATAAAAAATAATGCTTTTGTGGGCTAGTCAAAGACAAAAACTATGAAAGAGATTTCAGAAAAAAACTGACACAGGTTGTGATGGAATAAATCTTCCTAAAGGTAGCTCATGCAAAAACTGTAAAGTAGCAAAGTACTTTCTTCAAGGTACACAACATTGCACCAAATCTGTGAGCTATGCCAGTGGTAAGAACCACTAGTTAAGCAAAAATTCCTTCCAAGGACCCATGTATGCTGTAAATCTTGGGTCTCAGTTCAGAGAACTGATTGGCAGAATGCAGAATTTGTGGAAAAACCCCTCTGAAAATCCACATACGAGGTACACTGAAAATCCTTATAAAAATGTCTTCTGTGAGATGGATTATGAAGTTAAGTACAATGTGCACACTATAGGAACATTTTAATCAAATTTATTTTATTCACTTTTACTCAAAAAGAAGTTATATTCTACCATATCTTCTAAAAAATTTTACCTGAACCTTCATTTTTAATCTGGCTCTACTTAAAAGCATCATGTTTTAGATCCTGGATAAGAGATAGGCATTTACTGGATAAGGTTTAATCTACTGATGGTGAACCTCAAATCATAAGACAGTGAATAGTTTATCAAAGAGGTGTTCAGCAACTCTACTGAATCAAGGGAAAATACAGAACATTCAAAAATCCATTAGTTTGCCTGAAAGATAAATCACAAATGCTGTGTTGCCTTTTTTGGTCAAAAATTTACAAGTCTGCAAATCTGTATATTCAAAACTGTCTTTTCTATGATCAGTTCATCCAGTATATTTTAGCAATTATGTATTCATGCAAAATCCTTTACTCATTTGACTGTTTCATGAATAAAGATATATATTCAGAAATTATAAATACTTACCTCCATTCAGACTGAGAGGTAATATATGCTTTGAAAACCACTTTTACCAATGTTTGACTTCAAATACTTAGTGAATATTTTAAGGGTGCAGGAATCCACCCTAAAAACATTCACTAAGTTAATCATAAACACTGAAAAGATCAGAGATTTAGCTGTTCATTTTGTGACACCACAAACCTGGATGTGTGAAAGGAAACACTTTGAGATAACTAATCTTTACAAGAACTCGGCCTGTACAAAGCTGATGGAGAGATGAAGAGTTTTTAAATTAGTTCAAATAAATGCACACATCCTACATTTTCTCTTTTCCTCACCTCCACTCTTCTGACCAGCAAGCACTGTTATGAGCACTCAATTTCTGAAACGATTACCTGTGGATCCCTATTCTACAGATGCATTAAGTGCCAAGCGAGGCCCAGGGTACACAGACAATTGTCACAATGAAAAGGAAGATGGGACAGAGCATATCTTAAGGATGAGTCTGCAATTCATTTTAGATACAACAACATATATCAATCTAAAAAAATTAGCTTAAGTGTCACTGTGTCCTCTATGGCAAATATTTGTGTCCCTATTTCCAAAACCCTTTTTTCCTCAGCATTTTCCCAATTCGTTTATTAGTAAAAAGGCCCTACATACTTTATGTTCAGCTGTAAAAGTTGGACCTTGTATTTACATGATGAACAAACTGCAGAAGGATGCCTACCAATCTACCAATAAATACTTTTTTGTGTACAGCCATGCTGGTCTATTAGTGCCTTTTAAAGTAACTCCTCCAAAAATCTGAAGCTTCTGACAATGCACTTTTTCTCACTTAACCACAGACAATTTGCTTGGTGGGTTCAAAGTAATGATCAAATGTATCAAGAAATTGTGTCTTCCTTCTCAGCTAAAATACACAATTCTTGTTTGGTGCCTTTTAATTCCTCTGCTTAGATTTCAAGCCAGGCAAGAATGATTAGAGGCCATGCACAAAACTTGTGTGTATGTCATCATGTGTGAAGGCACAATGTCCAAAAGACTTTCAAGTGTATGTAAAGCAAGCAAGCAAACAAACAAATTAATTAGTATAATCCATGCAAGCCCTGATTCTAGGAAGTATTTGTAAAAATACCCCTTTCATACTTATAAAATACATCCCATTTTTCTTTGAAATGTAAATGCAAAGTTAATGGTGTCATTTTAATCAGATGTACTGATTAAAATCTACTGAGAAATCATCATAAAAGAGAACCTTTACATTTGGTACATCGGGTAAAGCAGATAGAATTCTCAGGTGAACTGAAAGGTTAACCAGGAGGCAGAGCTAAGTATCCATCCACCCCAGTTATTTTCTTCTGTTTGTACTGGTCTGTGATTCTATTAAAATTAGTTCTGTTTATTATTCACAGATTTCCTAGAAAGAATAAGAAAAAATACATTCAATAAAATATCACTAAGAATGAGCTGACAATAATTAAATCAGTTACAAAGTGACTAGAAAAAATGTGTTGTATTTTATATGGCAATCTCAAAACTATCTCACACTTGGCAGCAACATCACTGCTTTAATAAATCACCAGGTTTATAAGCAACCTATGGATCTCATTCATCATTTTCCCATTAGTCCTTTCAAATTAGAAAAACCATAAAGAATAAATACTGAAGACTGTCAGGGATACCACAGATTAACTTTGAAATATAAAATAATATTTTTTAAAAGGTTGGCAAAGGGATTTACATTTTAATGCAAATCCTCACCACTTTTTTTTCCTATTCAGGCCTAACTCATGCTAGGGGCAACTTCCTCCAATATGGACTGACTTCCTATGCTTAACTGCAAGTTTAAGTTCTGTTTTATAAATAAAAAACGAAAAGTCCTGCTCTCCATTAAGCAAAGAAAATTAAAAGTTATGATTGTTGGTTTGCAACAGAATTATGTGTATCATGTTAAAAATGTTGAATACAATGTTAAAGTCTGCTTTCTCCTTCTGTAGACACAAGGAACGATTCTTCCCGCTCCAAATTTTAACCCTATAATGGATGCTCAGTTGCTAGGAGGAGCCCTACAGGGAATTAGTGAGTATCTTGACTGATTCTAATGCCAATTTCCTGTTTTTCAGAAAGCTCTCATAAAGAATTAGGCAAAATATAAACTTATAAAATTGTCACCACCGATCTGCAGATTCTTCAAGGAATCACAATAAGAAACCCTGACGATGTCCAAATAAATAACTTGCATTTACAGGAACTCAGAGTTGATCAAGATTAAGCTAAAATCCATACCAACACTTACAGTAATGAACACTTCATTGAGAAAACAAGAAAAACAGAATTCTGTGTTACATTACTAGAGTGAGGGCCAAGAAATGGAAGGATTTTAGTTGTAACTTCAACAATTAAGTGCTACCAAGGCCTGCTAAGTCTCTTAACCAGTCGTAAGAAATAAAAATAAATGGAGAAGTTTAAAAATTCATTATCTTTGCAGTTTTTGCTTTCAGTGTTTGTTCCAAAAAAACTTTTGCTCACAAAAGCATTTTTCTCAGTTCAGATTTCTGTATTTTCCTATTGAACGTTGTTGGTATTGCTGAGAGTCAAAACATTGACCTACTTTTTTTTAAATCTGAAATGTTTTCCTCACTTTAAAACTGTTTTTTGTATCAGAACTTTTATACCCCTTGGGCTTTTCACAAAATTGTACAGAACCTAATCTTGCATGTTGTTTTCAATTTCTTTAATGAAAATGTGACAATTTAATATCGAATGGACCACAGTAAGTATTATTCATCAAGGGGCATCTGAAGTATCTTTATGACCATATTGGCTATAGATGAAAAGTTTTAAACATCTCCCTACACTTCAAACAGTACTTTTAAGGCTATGTTGCTAACAAGAAAATATAGAGATTATATTCTTCACTTATTACGCTAAGTACATTAGCCTTAATTTTAATCTTCCTATCAAAGTACATGGAACAAAGCTGTAATTTAAAGGACAATTGACAAAATAAATAGTTCTTCTTCAGAGGAGGTAATGCTACCATATCCCTTATGGAGACTGACACACTGGCCCTCAATCCTGAACATGGCATTCGTTCTTATGAGGATGTTCAGTCACCTCGGCTGCCCCACTGATACCAGTGGTACTACACAAGTGAATAAAGTTTTATACGTATGTTTTATAGTATTTCCTATATCTGGATCCTTCTCAGTTTTTATTAGAGAGCCTATGTAAGCTGTAAAGATCCCTAGTAATTACTTTCTCTGAAGAGTAAAAAGAAACCTTTTTGTACAGCATCCCAACCCTTAGGATGCAAAAACAATTTTAAAACTGCAAAATAATTTTCTGAATATGCTAATATTATTATTTTTCACAAGTAGTAACACTGATTCATTATAGAAGTTTACTAGTATGTTCTACATATCAAGCAAACCATCATAGATAACCTTCAATAAAATGCCCTTTGGAAATTAAATAAAATACTGTAAAGCTTCATAACTTACTTTATACATAAATTATAACTTTGAGTTTTTCAACAAATGGTCTAACAGCAATCTGTCATCCCCATAAAAGAGATCCCTAATTCTTAAATGACAATTTAATCAATATCAACATGACTGTATTGGTTTGAAAGCAAAACCAGTTCGAGGCTCCAAGTCAGTAATACAATTTAATAGGAGAAAAGAGAAAAAA